GGAAGGTTTATAATGATGATTAGGCCTGAAATTGGCGGAGATTTACAGCGTTGGGCCGGGAATGGAGGGAGAGGGGCCGGGGCTGGGAGCGGCCTAATGGATCCGTCAGCTCGTTCGGCTGCTCAGCGGGCCGAGGCGGGTCACCCGGCTTTCCGCTGGCAGCACAAAGCACTTCAATTTCGTTAGGAAATGTATCAATTTAACTGACTTGAGCGGCACACTGAAAAACCTAATGAATCTGGACTCAATTTTCCGCCACACTGCTCCTGAGAACTGTCGGAAACAATGTCTATGGTCGGAGGTGACGGGGTGGCCGCCGATAGGCCGCCCGGGCGCCCCTTCCCTTCCCACCCCTGGCCGTCCCTTCCCCGTCAGGGTTAGTGGAGAGAGACGGACCTGTCTGCACAACCTGGTGACAGCCCAGCCCGGCCACTTCCCTAACAATGATGTTATTATAGGTAAATTGGCCTCCATTTCAGCAGGACGGTGGTGCTAATTGAGTGAGAAATATAATACAGGGAGCTGTTGTCTGCGCTCAGGGCGGAGGGGCTGACTAAATGGCCTACCATTGTTGGTGTCACAAGTAGGCAGATGTTGCCTTCTGTTGATAACTGCACTGACATAGCTGGAGCTTGTCACCGCAGCTTCTGCCCGGAGACTCAGAGACTCGGGGCTCTGGTGGCAGATGGCTTCTCTGAATGGCTGAGGAGGGTCCCCGCAGCCCCGCAGGGTGGGAGGTGGCCGCTTGGTAAACAGGTCGGGGCTCCGGGGCCTTCCCCAGTCTCTCTCTGGGGGAGGCCTGGGACCCCGAAGCAGAGTCCCCTGGACTTTCTCCAGGCCTGGCACCCTCACAGCCCTGCCAGGGGGCTGTCCGAGGCCAGAACCGGCGCAGGAGTTCTGGAAGCCGTGTCCGTGGTCGGGAGGTGGAGGGCAGGGGGCAGCAGAGGCGCAGGGTCCAGGGCGAGGGGCTGGATCCTCCAGACGAATTCTCCAGGCTCTAGCCACCCAGAGGGCTGGGAGAGGGGGCTTCCTGGGGCTGGAAGGGCCGTGTTCCCAGGAAGCCCCCCAGCTCCCAGAGCCAAGAGGCCAAGCCTCCAGGTGCCCCTGACACACTATCGGGGACACCGGCCCAACACAGCTCCTGTGGGTGACCCTTGAGGTGTTCAGAGCCAGGACCCCAGGCTGTGCCCGCCAGGGCCTCTGGGAAGCTCTAGAACAAAGCCCACTGGGCCTCTCGTTGGCCTGGACAGA